CTCCCTTTTAACAGGAGGAAACCTCCAGCAGAACCAGGCTCAGTGTGAGCGGCCATCTGCTGAGGCCGACTGGGGTTCAAGGAGACAGAAGGAGAGGATTATTCCTGTTTCCAAATGAAACTGTCTTGAGTTTTTTTTAGATTAACAGTCTTGACCTTTCAAGCAGTTAAACTATGTTTATTTTGTCTGCTGTTCTTGTTAGTAAAGTCCGACACGAGGAAGATTCATCTTTACAGATTCTCCCACCTTGTGTATGGATGTCTTCTCTCCCTTCTCAGGTCCCTCCTCTGAGTCCGAGCAGGTGTAGGCATCGCTGGGGTTGAGCAGGGGGGTGGGACGGGGTCGATGAAGTGGCTGGAAGGTGAGCTGGGTGGTCAGGAGGCTGCTGACGGCCCGCAGCGACGTGCAGGTGTGGGATGGCAAAGAGGGGTCGGCCAGCAGGTCTGTGATCAGTCCGTGGGCTTCTCCCATCACAGCAATATCCACCATCACTGTCGTGCCGGAGGACTACACATTGACAGGTGCACAGAAGTGGGAAATAAACATCATTACGCAGCAAATGACTACAGCAGATGTTAATTAGAGGGAGGGTGGCTGCATGGAGCTGCTACTGGGTGGCAAGGTTAAACGCAGATGGGAAAACTATGTCACTGGCTCTCCTTTGAGGATAAACTGATGTTAACTGTGACATGGACAAACCTTTGATGTTATTCTTACAGAAGTGAAGCTAAAGTGTGTGACTGTGGATCAGAGAGCAGAGAGCTAGTCCTCAAATGCCAAGGTTTGAAGAGTTTTTCTGAAACCAGGGCAGTAAGAAACACTTTCCCCCTAGTCTGGTTGCTGCTATGAGTTTAAAAAATAGTTTAACAATTTTATTCAGAGAGTTATTAAGAAATAAGAACACATTATATCAGCCAGTATGCATCTCTCATATATGTATGTGTATGTGTTATTATCAGTGTTACTAACACTGATGTAAAGTAACCAAACAACAAAAAAAAGGTCTGATAAAAAAAAAAAAAAAAAAATAGGTTCTATTATTTATAATAGAACCAATTTATAAAACAGAACAAAAAAAAACTGAAACTGAACTGAAACATACATGTAAAATAATTAAACAAAAAAAACAAATAGAATAAAAATGTCTTTTCATCAGGAATAATTTACAAAACTGAAATAACCATCTAAAATAAATGAAGAACAAACACACAAATAATTAGAGACTGTATTTTGGTGAGGGAATATTTTAGAAAACCCATATGTTTATTCCAACTTAAATGGATCATATTAGCCCGTTTAAGACTTATGTTATGACAGAAGGAATTTTTTGAAGCCCTCATTTGAGAAAAGTATGGAAGTTCATATGTTTTAAGGAATTTAATGAGATATTCCATTATATATAGAAATCCATCATTCTCTTGACTGGAATAGAGTGAAGGACTTTTAAAATACGTCCCAACAGTACCTATTCTAATCAGGGTCTGTATATTTAAATGAGTCTCAAAAGACCTTTAAGATTTATCAGGGAACCTAGAGAAAGCCCTACTGAAGACCTTGCTTCTACTGGTACACAGTAAGTAAATGCATAGAAAGAGACTTTCCAATAGGGCTGGGCGATAATTCAATAACGATATATATTGATCGATAGACGTGTGGCGCAATAGAAAAAAAGAGAGTCGATAAAAGTTTGATAAAAAAGAAACACAGTTTTCCTTCCTTCTCATTGTAGCCTAGCATGTAGGTTTATGCTAAAGAAAAATGCTGAGGAGCCAGAAACTTCA